ATTTCATTTCTTTAATATATATTACTATTTGTCAACATTCTTATCATGAGGAAAAAACAAGTTCCTGGTTTCCAGATAAGTGGCTATTACCAACCTATTTAAATCCTGACTTGCTTGTGACTCATTGTCAGATCGTTTTGTTCCTGTTTGTGAATCATTGCTGTACGTCTGACTCCTGGTTTGATACTCTGCCCGTTTTCCATTTCTGCCTGTTTGCTGCCTGTCCTGCCTGTTGATTTCGACCACGACTACTCTTCTTGGAATATCCTTGCCTGTACTGTGTTTCTGGAAGCACTATGTCTTATCAGCCCCAGTGCACTGTTTCACAGCCTTGGGGATTTCTGATTGAGTCTCCTTGGTTTGTGTCAAATTGCAAAGGGTGCTTTAACTCTGCGTGTCTGACTCCTGCTCAAGCAGGGCCGGACTGGCCCACCGGGATACCGGGAAATTTCCCGGTGGGCCGCGGCACCTGGGGGGCTGCAAGGCCACATATGTGCCACCGGGTGGCCGGTCCGGTGGCACACTGAGAGGGGGCCGGCCGCGTTCCAGACTGCAGCCGGGCCGGGTGGCAGCTTCGCTGGTCCGGTGGCACTCCAGTCACTGGCTGCTGATGGAGGAGGAGCCTGTCTACCCTCGCGGTTCCCACAATTCCCGGCACAGGAACCGCGAGGGAGCATGGTAGACAGGCTCCTCCTCCATCAGCTCCAGTCTGGAATGCGGCTGGCCCCCTTGCCTTCTTTAAGGTAAATTGGGGGCAGGGGGGGAGGGAGAGGGGAGAGACACAGGGAAAGGAGGGAGGGAGATGGGAGAGACACAGGGAAAGGGGGAAGGGAGAGAGATGAGGAGAGGGGAGAGACAAGAAAAGGGGGGAGGGAGAGAGATGGGGAGAGGGGAGAGACACAGGGAAAGGGGGGAGGGAGAGAGATGGGGAGGGGAATAGGGAGAGGGGAGAGACACAGGGAAAGGGGGGAGGGAGAGACACAGGGAAAGGGGGGGAGGGTGTGTGTGTGTGCTGGATGATGGGTGTGATGTGGGATGATGTGTGTGTGTGTTAGGTGGGGAAGCAATTTTTTTTCCAATTTATGTGTGTATATTTTTTATTTTATTCCCCCCTCCCTGCTTCTTACCTTGTCAGGGAGGGGGGAGATCTCATTCCCTGGTGGTCCGGTGGAGGGAGCCAGCCATTGCACATGGGGACCCAGAACACTTTCTGTTCCCTCTCCAGCTCTGTCTAACTCTCGCAAGACTCGCCTGCGTGCTGTGGTTACCATGGCAACGCTCTGGCGGCAGCGGGACTTGCGAATGTGAGAAACAGAGAGGGAACACAGAGTGTGCTGGGCCCCCGTGTACAGGTAGCGGGTCAGGTCCTGCAGGACTACTAGCGGGAACGGTGTTCCTGCTTTGGAAAAAGTGCAGGAATGCCATTCCCATGCGTTCCTGCAGGACTCAAGCACTGAGTTTGCACCCTTGTTTCCTTACTTCAACCCGCACTCCTGGCTTTACCACAGATGGTTTAAAGTTTGATTTAGTTAGATGTGTTGAATTGCTCAACACGTTTGAAATGAATTCAAGTTGAATGTTACTAATAATGGGCGAGAAGTTTATTAGGCCACCTTTATTTAACTTTTTTTAAAAGCAGGTTATGGGGCAAGGATGTCCACTTTCATGGCCACTATACTCAAATTTCAGCTGATATGAACAAATCAAATTCCTTTTGCCCCAAACAAATCAGTCTGTCCAGGATTTACCTATGGAGTCAATGACAGTTTTCATAAAAAAAACAGCCTCTGGTTATGTCAGATGTGAATTCACCCCTTGGAGTTTGAGAAGTATTTTGGAATGGAAGCACTAGATCACGTTAACAAGGTTAAAACAAACAAAAATATTCTTGTTTTGAAACCCCTTAAAAATTATACAGATATTGGGCATGCAAAAATCCAGCTGCTTAAAGTGGCCCTTTAAATTGGACTGATAATTTACAGATAGCTTGATTAACTTAGTTACAATGCATGTACTTTAACGCCTTCACGTCTCCAATCATGTATACACGATTGTCAGCGTATGCATTCAAACCCCACAATCGTTTATACAATATATTAACCATTGCAAGCCTATGAGTGGGCTTTTTACGTTGAAGTACTTTTTAATTTTAATTTATCTGTTCTAACTCTGTATCTGCACACTATGCTGGCGCGACGCATTATGGGGCTGGTAAATATTTTTTTTCCAGGGCTGCTTTTAATTCCCAGTCCGGCCCTGTGCTCAAGGTAAATTCCCTGACAATGATTTACTCTTTGGTTTGAAAAGTATGGAATTTAATGATGGCGTCTCTGGGTTGTGATTCTGGCATTTTTCGTGGTTTATATGTACGACTATATCTTTCTACTGTCAGATCATGTTCTTTGGAGTCTGGTAACATACATTTTTAAAAATTCCATAAGAAAACTTAAGAGATCGTTTTAATTGACTGACTCAGGAATATTGCGTATGCGTATATTTGATCTTCTAGAGCGGTCTTCAAGGTCGTTTAATTTGCCTCTCAGTTGTTCTATTTTTTGTACTAGATCTTGTGATGTGGATTTAAGGATACAGTATTGTTGTTTCAATTTGTTTTCTAGAGTCTCCAACTTTTCTTTTACGCTTTTAATTTGATTTCTACCGCACTGCTTGATATGTCTTCTCGTATTATTTTTAGGTGGCCCTCCTATTCCATTATATCAATTGGTTGTCTCACTTGTGATTCTTCTAGTTCTGTCTGGTTTTTTTTTTGTGGTGTCAAATGGGTTGGAGAAAAAAAATCTGATGATATTTTATCTGATTTCGGGTATTTTCACCCTTTTTATCCTGCCCCTTTTTTGAGGCCATTTTCATTCAAATCTTTCTTTTTTGCGAGAGAAATAAATATCTATATTGTCTTAGTTTCTATGGCTTGTATTGCCTGTTTAGCAGTCTGTGGAGTTCTGTTTGTTTAAGCTATCAGGCAATCCGGCCTGGTTATTTCGTGATCCAAGGTATATAAAAAACAGCAATATTGCTCTCAGTGTATAAAAGATGAGTAAAACAAATATAAATAAAATATACTCACAAGTGTAGAGCAGGAGGTACTGCTCTATCAATACAGCGCTGGTAGAATAAACCCCACTGTAGCGGAACGCCAATATTAAATCCACGAATTCCGCTGATTCAGGAAGTAATCCACAGTCAAGCGCTGAAACAACAAGGCAATATCCCCAACCTCCCAGTAACCGGACGAAACACAGTTCTGAGAGTCAACTGAAGTCCTTTAATTCTGCTTCACAATTTATACAAGTCCCCATGCAAGGGGTTTCCTGAGTCCCCTCCCAGGGGCATTCCTAGAGGGGACTACATGGGGAACTTACAGTACAACACATTTCTCCCATCAGGCACTGCTGCACGAGAGGGATCCTCCTCCTAGAATATGCCGTTAAGTGGATTATCCCCTCGTGCAGCAGAACCGACAATTTATACAAAAATCCATAACTTTGTGAATATACTGTTGATTTGCACGAATGGACGTTCGGTAGATAGCTGGGGTCTGAGCGCATCATTCGTGAGATTACCGCTCAGATCCCAGCTAAAATAACCGAACGCCGCATGAAAAACACATTTATTGAAAACCATATTGAAAAGACCGATTGCCTTCCAGGGAATGAAATACCGAACGGCCTGCAACTCCCGAACGTCCTGGAGGCTCAGCGGTGTTCGTGCCGTCGAGTAGCCGTTTTTAGTACCATGCGCTCGATGACCTAGCACCGCTGAGGGAACAAAGGATCCAAGATGGCCGACCGCCGCATGGTCGGTAGTCGAACGACGGCCACCCAGGAGAGCCTCTAATTGTGTGGGCTATTAGGGGTAGTGTTTTCGGTTCACGAACGGCCCTCCAAGGTGCCATTCGTGAAACGAAAGGAAAACCCCATACAAACAGCTATCTGCATTCGGCGGATAGCAAATACAGTCAATTCAATACATTACAGTCAGCATACAATATACGTAGTTAAACACATATCTCCCCAGACATACAGGCAACCCTTAAAGGTACAGTCTCTGGTTATAGTCCAAGTGGCTAGGTTTGCCACACCCACCTAGGATTCTTTTAGTCAGGATACAATAAAAAATGCCAGGAAAAGTAAAAGTAAAAAGTACATATAAAATACAATAAAATGAAAATTGGTCCTATAAAAAAGGGTAACCGAAAGACTTTTATTGTTTAAAATACACAATCTAAAACCATTAACGCGTTTCACGTTTAAGGCTTTGTCAAAATGGTAGTGTGACGAGAGCAATCTCGCCACTGTGCATTGGAGGAGCCTGGTTGCCTGCCTGCTGCCTGCTGCCTTTTGACTATGGACCGGCATTTAAATACTTTATTTTCCTATGCAGAAAGGTCTATTCATGTATTTCTGCTCTGACGTTCGGTAGATTCTCAGATTTACTGAATGAACTAATTTAACCCAGATAGCTATGCAATGAGGGTGTAATAAAATACTTTGGCTCCATGGCAATTGAACTGTATGTGTGTGGTCTGAGAGCCATTCAGTAATAATGTGCGCTCAGACCTAAGCTATCTGGGGATATGTTGCATGTCTGTATTTTATGCAATAAATGTAACCTTGTGTATTTTATTGTCTTTTGCTGCCATGTGTTCAATGGAGTTTTGCCTCTGTCCTTGGAGATAACTGCATTACTTCCCAATTATCTCCAGGATAGAAGACTCTGTGGAACAGGTTTTGGGCAGAAAAGCCATGCTTCATCTGGTCACAAAGGACTTTGATTCTATCTTTTGAACTAATGGACCAATTTGGATGATTTTGACATATGTTTGTATTTGGAGTATGCTGATTCTGAAAATGTAAGTTGAATTATGTGAATGTGATGCATACTTTTCAAGTTATGAATAATGTGGAAAAACTGTATTTCTCTGGCTGTGATAATTACATTACCCATTGTGTAAGGTAATTGTATCACAGGCAGAGGGGAGGATTTTGTGTGGGAGTGTCTGAGTGTATTGTACGTGTTTATTGGTTATTTTCCAAAACCCTGTGGGTGGTACTAGTGTGTAAGAATGTGTACATAAGAACAATAAACCCACAGCTCTGGCTGTTCACTGCTTGACCCTCAAAACAGAGCCTTGTCTCGTTCTTGGGGGGATTTATTGTATGCTGTTCCAGTTTGACTGCTAGGAGTGTAAACCTATTCGTATGGTTTTTCCTATTCGGCTGTTTACGGCATTCATATGGTTTCCTGTTCGGCAGATTGGTGTTCTGCAGTAGCTGTGCCTGTGTCTCTGGAAGGGAATGCCTGGGGGTGCCGTTACAGGTAGTATAGTATTGTACCTGGCATGAGGGAGTATATATAAGGATATGTTGAAATTAAAATTGGCGCCAAAAATCGGATCAGCCAATTGGAAACAAATGTTTTAAAACCATATATAAAACAAATACTGCTTGTACAGTTAAATAGGGTAATCTGATAGGGACAGAGTGGTGTAATTATATATATATATATATATATATATATATATATATAAATAAAACGAGGCTTGAGTCAAAAGATATATCTGAAAATGTAACGTCACGTGACCGGCGTTATTTGGAGCAAAGCTCCTAGGGTAATGTAGTATCACTGGTCAACGTGTGTGTAGGAGAAGGGGTGGCGAGCAGCTTGCTCTCGCCTACAGGAGCGAGCCGCTCCCACAGGGGGAGGGACTTCAGGGGAAGTAAATAGAATATGCCCAGCAAATCCAAATGACTGCCGAAGGCACGTAGGATTTGTGCCGTTGGAGAGAATAATAAGAGTGGAAATAAAAGAAATAAGGGCTCTGATTACTGCCCTAATAAAATAGGGGCGGGGGGAAGTTAAAAAGGAATATGTAGAGGTCCCATAAGTAAAATAAAATAAGTAAAGGAATATAAAGTGGCCCCATAAGTAAAATAGGCATGTACATACATATATAATATAAATAAATACAGCAGCTTGCTAATAAAGAACAGAGTTCTTATAAATAAAGAGAGGGAATAAAGAGAGGGAAGTGATATCAATAATAAAGGGCATATCTTTAAAACAGAATGATATAAGTGTGAGGCATTAACTGCTGTTTAACAATAAATACACATAAAATTCCACATATAATAATAAATAAAATTACCGTATATACTCGAGTATAAGCCGAGTTTTTCAGCACATTTATATGCAATTTACATTGCCATAATACAGACTGGGGGCTGACAGAGCTGTTACTTACCTCTCCTGCAGCTCCTGTCAGCTCTCTCCTCCTCCGCGTCGGTCCGTGCAGCTCTTCTCTCAGCTCCCAGTGTAAGTCTCGCGAGAGCCGCACTATGACCCCGCGGCTCTCGCGAGACTTACACTGGGAGCTGACCGAGGTGCTGCACGGACCGACGCGGAGGAGGAGAGAGCTGACAGGAGCTGCAGGAGAGGTAAGTAACAGCTCTGTCAGCCCCCCTCCTCCCCCCACTGAACTGCCAATGGACCACCAGGGAAGGAGAGCCCCCCTCCCTGCCATGTATCAAGCAGGGAGGGGGGACCAAAAATAGATAAATTAATAATATATAAATAAAAAAATAAAAAAAATAATAAACAAAATAATAATATAACAAAAAAAATGAACTAAAAACTAAATAAAATAATAATACATAAATAATAATAAAAAAAATAATAAAAAAATTATTAAAAAAATAATAATATAACAAAAAAAAATGTAAATAATAATATTTTTTTTTTTATAAAAATGCCCACCCCCCACCAAGGCTCTGCAACACAAACACACACTGCATCACACACACACACTGCATTCATACACACACACTGCATTCATACACACACACTGCACTCATACACACATACACTGCATTCATACACACATACACTGCATTCATACACACACACACACTGCATTCATACACACACACTGCATTCATACACACACACTGCATTCATACACACATACACTGCACTCATACACACACACTGCATTCATACACACACTGCGCACTCATATACACACTGCATTTATACACACACTGCGCACTCATACACACACACTGCATTCATCATATACACACACTGTAAATAAATATTCAATTAATATAATTTTTTTAGGATCTAATTTTATTTAGAAATTTACCAGTAGCTGCTGCATTTCCCACCCTAGTCTTATACTCGAGTCAATAAGTTTTCCCAGTTTTTTGGGGTAAAATTAGGGGCCTCGGCTTATATTCGGGTCGGCTTATACTCGAGTATATACGGTAAACATTTAAAAATTATATATTTGGAAAAAGTTCCATATAAACAGTGTAACATTTAATATTGGTTGTATGCATAATTATAAAAAAAATTGTACAGGTCGAAGTCTGCATTTAAATCTTGGGGTGTGAGGGTCTGTAGCTTGTAGTCCATTCCATTTCTGTTTTTCCTAGGACCTTTTTTTATATCGCCCCCCCCCCCCTCCAGGGTAAGGTGCATTTTTTTAACCCAATACACAAGTGTTTGGATACGGAGTGATTTAAGTATCCATTTTTAATGTTACTGCAATGTTTTTAAGCACCTTGTGGTCATTCCAACATACTGGAAGCCACATGGGCATTCAAGCAGATAAATTAAATTTTTCGTATTACAACTTATAAATTCCTTAATATTGTAAGTTATTTTAGTCCTATTTGAGGTAAATTGCGTCAACTTAGATGGTAATGAGGAATCAGTGGTCTTACATATAATACATGATTTGCATTTATGGAACCCTTTAACTTGGGGAAAGAAGGATACTGGGTTTTTATGTGGGATTATTTTTGTAAAATTCATGGTTAAAATTGATCTAAAATTCTAAAAACTATATTTGGCTTTTCAGGAATAATTTTGCTGAGTTTTTCGTCATGTTTTAAACTGTGCCAATGTTTTTTAATGATCTTTTTGATTTTGCCACTTTTATTATTGTAGTTAAAAGTAATAGGGAGAGATATAGATTTGTTATTTGTTTTTGTCTTTACATTAAAAGTTCATCCCTATTGTTGTGCTTAATCTTGTTAATACTTTCTAATAGGTCTGTCTCTGAATAATTTTACCACATGACAGGAGGCTTCATATTTTGCATTAAACTCTTTTTACTAACTCCACATAGCAGTAAAGAAAAGTGAAAACATTAACTAATCAAAAATGCAGTAGGAGGTATAGTATTCACAGTGATGAGGCTCCTTCCCCTCTTTCTTTACTGCTCCATCAGCAAACAGGTCAGAGTTTCAGGCTCTTCCCTTTATATACTGTATATTCTCTATTATATGTTATTTTACTTTATTATATATATTGGTTCCTTCTTTTATCCTTTGGGGGGGTTTCTCCTTCCTGTCCTCTGGAGGTTCCTACCTTTATATCCATTTTATATCTATTTTTTTCTCATCTTGGAGCTCCCCTCTAGGATTTTTCCCTTTCTCCCCTTCCCTGCACTCAGGGACCCTTCCGCTTACTCCCTCCTTTATTTCTACCTTGCCGCTGGCCTCCCAGCATCATCCCCTCAGGGTAAGGCTCACCCTGCTCACTCTACCCCCCTGCGGCTCCCCAGCCGCATTCCGTCTCGCCGGCACGCCGGGAAACCCCTTTACCCGCTTCCCGGCGGCCATCTTGGATCTCGCGTCTCGCGAGATTCTCGGCCGCCATTTTGGGAGACCTGTGGTCTGTGCAGTGCCGGCTCCCGACCGCCATCTGTGTACTAAGCTAAATCTGTGGATTTTTCAAGCTGCTCACTCACTGCATGCAGATTACTTTGCTGTACACTATCATAGAGGAAGGCAGGCTCAGGCAGGGGTCACAGGTTAGTTCCCTAAACGGATACAGAGGCTGCTGGCCATGCTCAGTGGTAAGTCCACTACTTTTATACACAACGTGGATTTTGTGCCACCTAATAATTATAACTGGGTGAGGCCCTTTTCACTGCTGCCATCAGGTGGATTTTGTGCCACCTATATATGTGTATATGATAAGGGGAACCCTCCTTTTATTACAAGACCAGGTGGATTTTGTGCCACCTTCATTTCCATATACATTTCTGGGTGAGGCCCAGCTAAAAACCCAATTTACCTTGCTGGGGTCTCTGGTACCGTTTGTACCTATATTGCCATACACTCTGCTGGGGTGTTATTATTGAGTACCCATACTCACACCCTGCTGGGGTTTCTACAGGTGCCACTGGTACCACCATTCAGTTTACCTTCCCGCATAACTACCTGACCCCTAGCCCAACTACCCTGTGCCAGCACCCCAAGTCACCATGGAAGCATCGCAAACCCCTGCGGACTTCCAGTCAATGATTGCAGAGGCCATCTCCGCCTCTATGGAGAAAGCTCTTTCCAGGGTCAACATCAACTGACAAAACCAAAAAAGCCACGCAGGCCCAACTACAGGACGAGGTTTCTGAGGCCTCAGAATCACACGTACAGGCGGACTCACGCCCTACCAAACGTCACTGGTAAGGTGAGAAACTCCAGGCAAGGGTAAGGCACCATCTAAACGCCACAAACCAGCCCCACCTACCCCCGCCCACTACTCCTCGGATGAGGGGGAAGAACACACACGCTCTATGGCCGTGTTGGACGAGTGGCAAGCCGCGGACTCCGATTCGCAGGATGACGAGTGGGACTCTGATTCCGGCTCCCGTACTGGCTTCTTACGAGGCACCTTCCTGGATGACATCCAGCTGCCAGAAGACCTCGCACCTACTCAAGAAGGGGATACCATCCTAGACCCCACAGGACAACATCTCTTCGACCCTCGTAACATCCGCCACCCACGCTCTGGGGACTGGACCCCCCCTGACCACCTCTCCAGGTTCATGCACTGCTGGCTCCGCAAACCACTAGACAAAATGGTGCGCAACCACCTACGCTCCGAATGACCACGCCCTTCGCTCCCCGACCATGTAAATCAAACTCCGAAGTTCGATCAGGTCATGACCACCTTTATGTCTCGAGGTGGCCGCAACCCTCGGCGGAGAAAGGAGGCCTTCCTACGACCAAACCATGGGGTCCAGGACAAACTGCTGGACTTCATCGGCCCATTTACCCGCATCCTGTATCTGGCGGATGATGCATTCACAAGGGCTGATCAATTTGACACCAGCATGGTTAAAGAGTGGGCACATGACATCAGAGAATGGGCACAAAGGTGCTTCTCAAAGAAAAGAAAGAGACAG